ACTATTGTTTTGGAACTCATGTATTACAAGTAGTTGTATAAGTCTTTTAAAGACTGACACCTATAAGAAAATAGAAACTGAAGCCCTCCTTCCAGATGCTGCGTTTACCAGGCTGCTGGAACACTTCCTGGTCTCCAGAGTCCACTCTGTGGAAATTCTGTTTTAATACCATGACAACTACAAGTGCAAATTGTGTATGTTGGAACCACTTCTGGCTGAAGGAAGGGAGTCAGTATTACATTGGACGTTAGCAAGAATACATTCTCTCTCAAAATCTTTTATTTGATTTTTTTGCCCTTATATCACCTTGTATATTGTTATTATTATTTTAAGCAAGTTTAATTTTTATTAAACCTGGTCTTTAAATGTTTGGGCTAGTGAGTTTTCCATTTTGGCTTTTAGTAATCAGGAATTCTTTAGTACTATTTAGTCCCATAAGACCTCCCAACCCCCCCCCCCAAAAAAAAAGAAAAAAAAAGAAGCATTGTGTATCCGCTACTGAAATAGGATCCCATTTGCTGTTACTGTCTTCAAGGATTTCACCATCCAGAGGGAATAGCAGGCAGAATGTGAATTAAGGCATAATGTGCATAATGTGTATAATGTATAAGTATTTAAGCATGGTGTGATCACAGGGCTGCCTTGAGGAACATGTGCTTGTGTTTTTAACAGTCTACTAGTTTTCCCACTCCTAAATAAATGTCTGTGTTGGGGATCACAGTGGAAATTCATTCATCTGGTAAGTTAGCTGTGCTGTATTAACTGTTTTAGTTAATGTTTTCTGGGGGAGACATTATTTCACCTTCATTTGAGTGCAAACAACACATTAGTGAGGTATTTTGTCAGGAATTATAGTGGCAACATTTTTGGTGCTTGTTAGGTACAGAATGCTCAGCTCCATGTTGAAGCTACGCTGGGTTATAAAGCACATATTTTCCCATGGAAAGTCATGGTTTGCACGGGGAAGGAAAGACACAATACATCAACCACTATGTCTCTGAGTCTGTATCAGATCCATCCCTGTGTACAGTGGGGCAATGGACATGGATAAATTTACCATGTATAGATCAAAAATATTTAGTACACACACTATTATTTAACTATCTCTGCCGTGCATTTCTAGAATACTCCTCATTTTGTAAACTCCTCATTTTGTAAAACTGCCATTCTAAACTTATGGAACAACTTGTTTCCTCTGAACTCACCCTCTGTCTATTCCTTTCTATCTTTGTGATTTTGAATCACTCATACAAGTTGAATTGTGTAATATTTGTCTTTTGGGTACTAGTCTATTTCACTTACTACTTTCAAGGTGCATATATATTATAGTATATATCAGAATTTCCTTCCTTTTTAAGGTTGAATAATGATTTTCCATGCCTGCCATTTTTACTGTTTATCTGCAGACAAATATTGGAATTTCTTCCATACTGCTATGCATTTACTATATACAGCCATTTCTTCAAGACTCTGCTTTCTCTTTCTTTTTAGGCAATTTTCAAATACCTTGTTATTAACCACAACATATAGTAGATATCTCAACTATGTACCAGATATATAACTGAAGATTTGTTTCCTCTTTTGACCAGCATCTTCCCACCTTAGCTCTGGTCCCTGTTTCTTGTAAGCATCGTTGAGCTTCCTGCTTCTGTGAGCTCAGATGTCTTAAGGTTCTACAATGCTGCAATATTTTTCTTTCTGTGCTTGGCCTATTCATTTAATATCCTCCAGGGACATGTACGAAGCTGCAAATAACAGATCTTCCTTCATTTTAAGATCAGGGAGTGTTCCACTGTGTGTATTCACTCTAGTTCTTCAACTTGTTCCCCTGTTAGTGAACATTTGGGTTGATTTCATATCATAGCTGTTATGAATAGTCTTCGATGAATGTGGAAGTGCTGATGAAATCATACTGACTTAATTTTCTTTGGATAGATTCCTAGAAATGAGATTATCACATCACAGATGGTTCTGTTTTTTATTTTAATATTTGGTAGCATTCATTGGTAGAATCATGATTACCAGGGCATTTCTTTGTTGACATTGTTGATACTGATTTGGTTTCCTTATTAGTTAATAGTTTACTCAAATTTTCTGTTTCTTTATGGTTTAATCTCGGCAGAATTTGTATTTCTTGGAATTTGATCACTTCATTTAATTCATTTAATTTATGGGGGTATCATTGCTCATATGTCTATCTGGATATCCTCTGTGTTTCTGTAGAATTGGTAGTCAGTATTATTTCTAATTTTAGGAACCCAAATCTCTTTTTTTCCTTAGTCCTTTTAGCACAGGTTTACCAATTTTATCTTTTTAAAAGAACAGGCTTAATTTCATTGATTTTTTTTCTCACCAAGTTTTGATTTCATCTGTTTCTATACTGATCTTCATTTCTTCTGTTAGGTTTATGTTTGAAGTTTTTTTTTTCCTTTATTTTTCTACATCCTCAAATGTAAAGTGAGGGCTTAAAATTTAATTATTATTTTTCTACATTTTAATTTAGCATCAGTTAATTCTACAAGAGGTTTTATTAAGACATACATGCATATAGTATATATTTATAATATAGCATTTATTATATATAATATAATGTAATATATGTAAGATATAATATTCCTTTCCTCACGTTCCTTCATTCCCCTCCCCTGATTCTCAACATCTTTCATTGTTCCATCCCCATGCGTGTGCCTAAAGCATTCTGACCATATTCACACTCCTTCACCTTCTCTATGGGCAGACAAGAGAGTTTGCATTCCTGTCACTCATCTTTTAAATGTATTTTAGTTGTTCAAATGGTTTTACTGTGGCATTTCGCAATACACATGTAATATTTATTTTATTAACTCCAGTTTAGAACTGCCAATCCTCCCAGCCTTAGCCTCCCAAGTACTGCAAATTCAGACATAGGACATCACACTAGATCCCAAAGTAGGCATTTGTTTTGAGATCTTCTCCATTGCTTAAAAAAAAAATGTGTCTGGTTATAAATCCTAGCCATAGCACAGTTTTTGCTATGTCCATACATTTTGTTATGTCATGATTTTATTCTCATTCACTTTTAAGTATTTTCCCATAATTTATTCTTGGATCCATTTGTTGTTTAATAATTGTTTGTTTAATTTTGAAGAAATTTGTGAATTTTCCAGGAGTTGTTTTCTCTGCCCTTCTCCTTTCCCTTCATTTCTTCCTTCCCTACTCCTTCCTCTTCTCCTCCTTTCTCTTCTCTGTTCCCTTTCCTTCCCTTCCCATTTTAGTGGTCTGCTACTAGGTGCATATAAGTTTATAATTATTTTATCTTCTTGATCTACTGAACATTTTATCAATATATAGTATCCTTTGTTATTCCTTGTAAATATTTTATTTAAATTGGATATAAGCATAATTGTTTTTGTTCTATTTTTGGTTACTTTTGCAAGAAATTTTTTTTATATTGTTTCAAATCAATTTGTTTCTTTGGATCAAAAGAAATATGTTTCTTCATCATCTCATTTGCAAATAATTTGTACCAGGATGGCATTTTAAAATCCATTCTTCTAATCTTTGTCTGTTGAATGGGAAGTTCATTGCATTTACATTTAATTAATGAGGTGAGACTTCGTTCCTTTTACTGATCGCTTTCTCAGTGCCTTGTAGCTGTTTGTTCATCATTTCTTGCATTACTGTTTTCTTTTATGTCTAGTTGTTTGTTGTTTTTTTTCAGGGAAACATTTAAGTTTCTTCTCTTTTCCTGTCATATACATTCCTAAGCCATTTTCTTTTGTAGAGATCGCAGCACATTAAAATTATAACACTCCAGCTTGATGTCAGTTAATGCTGTTCCTTAAAAATATATTTTTAGACATTTTATGGTTGTTAGTATCACAATAATATTTATATATTCTATGTATGAAACATTAAGGAATTTTTTTTGGGGGGGTCCGGTCGTGGGGCCTGAACTCTGGGCTGGGCGCTGTCCCTCAGCTCTTCAGCTGAAGACTAGCACTCTACCACTTGAGCCACAGTGCCACTTCCAACTTTTTTCTTTTTTGCTTATGTGGTGCTGAGAAATTGAACCCAGGGCCTCATGCATGCAAGGCAAGCACTCTACCACTGAGCCACCTTCCCAGCCCACATTAAGGAATTTTAATGGAAGGATATAGTGTAGAATTTAGGGCTTGTGTAGAGTACCAGCCATATAGACTGGGAGGAAAACAGAACTAGAGGTAATAAAAAGTAGAGAAACTCTAGTTATGTAACAAGAATAGTAATTTGCATTGATACTTCTTCTTTTTTTTTTTTTTTTTTTTTTTTTTGTAGTACAAGGGTTTGAACTCGGTGCCTTACATTTGCTAGGCGGGTTTCACCACTTGAGATATGTCTCTAGCAATTTTGTCTTAGTTATTTTTTTCATATAGAGTCTTGTGTATTTTCCTGGAGCTTTCCTCAGACCATGATTCTCCCATTTATGGCTTCTTCTGTAAGTAGGGTGCCAGGAGCATGCCACCTCACCAAGCTTATTGATTGAGGTGCAAATCTGCTTAATTTTTTCCAGGATGGCCTTGAGCCATGGTCCTTCCAGTCACTGCCTCTTTAGTATCTGAAATTACCAGCATGAACTACTAAGCCCAGCCTTACCAATAATTTTAAAGTTTAATTTGCACAACCCTTCCAGAGATTATTTTAACATAATAGATTAAATATCAGTATGATTTATTGCAATAATAAAATTGTAACTTTTATAACTGCTATTGTTTTCAGTTTTATTATAAAGGTAGTTTATTTATTGCATGAAATCTGAAAAAAAATCAAGAGTATAGATCAATAAGTATTACATCTAAAACATCACTATAGTGCATCCAGCATTAATACATCCATCTCTCACTTCTGTTCCTGTATTTTTACACAGTTGAGATCATATTGAATACATATGTATTTTTAACCATACTTGCCCTTGCCAATTATCTTGACTAGGTTGGTTTTATTTTATTTCATTATTCATTGTCTGGCTTTCTTTCCTTTAGGCAACAGGAATCTAACAATGTTTTGGAATGACCTTGGGTACCAACATAATAAGGACCTAGAGAAATCCTCAGAGATTCAGTACCAAAGGAGACAAGCCATGGCCATTCCGTTCATGATGCAGTGCGGTGAGTACTGAAATCCATTGTAACTAGCAAATACTAGTGAACTTTCAAATGCACAAGTCATGGTGTTATAAATGGTGGCTTTAAGTGGTGAAATGAGTAAGATATGATTCTTACCTTCAAGGTTGGTACAGTGTACAAGAGGTTAAAATACTGAAGACAGAGAAAAGTAGGTAAATGAAGTAATAGAAGTGATGAGGTCTTAGAAGTAAAAACAAAAGTAGTGGAAGAGCAAAGGCAGACTATACTACTAAGATATGTCTCCAGCCCCCTTTTATTGTAGTAGTTGTTGTTATTATTATTACTTTGGTCAGTCATGGGCCTCAACTCTGGACCTGGGTGCTGTCCCACAGCTCTTCATCTCAAGATTAGTGCTCTACCACTTGAGCCACTTCTGGCTTTTTCTGCTTATGTGGTGCTGATGAATCAAACCCAGGGTCTCATGCATGCAAGGCAAGCACTGTACCACTGAGAAACCTTCCCAGCCCTATAGTGGTTATTTTAAAATAGGATCTCATGTCCTGTTCGGGCATATGCCTAGATCACAATCCACCTATTTTAGGTTTTCTATTATAGCTGGAATGATAGGCATGTGCTACCACAGGAAACATTCATATGGAATCTCACAGATTTTTCTGCCTATTAGGTATATGCTTCAGTTAAAATATTTCTTGGAGAGAAATAAACAGACCATTTTTTTCTATGAGTCATGTGTAACACTAAGACATAGTAGGATTTTTATGATTGATAACTGCATTCATGATGTATAAATAATGGAAGACAAAACTATTATATTGAGTAAACCTGTTCAAGGGCTTTGAATTCTAGAATGAGTTTTTACTTTGATAAGCAGTGGGGAGGTACTGGAAGTTTTTCAGGAGGAAAATAACCATATGTGAATTACATAAATAAATAGCTATGGGAATTAAGGGCAATCTAAAATAGTTATGGGAATTAAGGGAAATCTATTTTCCACAACAAATGTTACAGTGGAGAAGACAGGCAAGGCCAGGAGAGCCTGACCCTTTGCTTTCATCTGGGAGTCTTCCAGAGAAGCTCTCCTGGCTAGATGGAACTTGTAGTGAGGCAGCATGGTCAAGGATGATTTGGTAGAAGGCCAGAACAAAAGAAGAGGTCAAACCCTGATGATCTATTAGTGTTGTAATTTAAGCTCTATGTGAACATTGTAAATGTCTGAGTTAATGTAAAATATCTAAGGGGAACATACATGACTATATTTAGAAAGTAATATTGAATAAATGGATGACAGTATGTGACAACTTATTACATTGTAATCATAATGGATAACAATTAACATATATATATATACATATATAGTAAAGGTGATGTACAGAGAGGTTACAGTTACATAGGTCAGGTAAAGAGTACATTTCTTTTTGAACAGTCACCTCTTCCCTCGTTTTCTCAGTTTTTCCCTCCTGATCCTCCTCCCCAACAAGTTGTGGTTCATTTTCAGCATAACGTCTAGTGAGTATCACTGCTGCATTTGTTCACCCTTTGTCCCACCATTTCTGTACTCCCCCTGAAGCAGGGAGAGTTACACATAAGACAAAAGGTACAGAAATAAAAAACAGCAGCAAAGGAGAGAGAGAGAAAAAAGCAAAATAACAAAAACCCTCTTGTTTCCCTTTCTTGGAGTTCATTTTGATAAACACCATTTCATATAATCATATGCACCTAACCATTGAGCCTTGGTGATCCTTTCCTAAGAATATTCTCCTGTGGTTTCACTCTGTGAATGTTAGAGTTCCATGGCAGAAATGGCTGTACACATGGAGGAAACTGAAGCTACATACTTATATGTCACCCTGCACCAAAATCAATTCCAAATAGATCAGATACCTCAATTGATACCAGATACCATAAAAATATTACAGGAAGGGGTAGAGGAAAGCCTAGCGCTCCTAGGCACAGGTCAAAACTACCTAAGTAACGATTCAGAATCACAATAAATCAAAGGCTTGATAAATGGGATTGCATCAAATTGACGCACAGCAAAGGACATAGCTAGCAAGATAAATAGAAAGTCCACAGAATGGGTGATTTTCTTTTACTAGTTATGTATCAGACAAGGGCCTCATATCTATAATAGACTTAGAGCTCAAAAAATTAACCCCTCAAAAATAAACCTTCAAAGAAACAACAACCCAATTAATAAATGGGATAAAGATTTAAAGAGAGACTTCTCAGAAGAAGTACAAATGGTTGATAGACACATGAAGAGATGCTCAACATCTCTGCCAATTAGTATATTTTTGATGTGTACCACACACTGTTAGAGTCCAATCTCCAGTGCCTAAGAGCTGTGAAAAGGAACAATTATTTCATCTCTCAAAGGCCTTTTTTCCCTCTTTTTATAAAATAACATGTATACTTGCCCTTATATCATGGGGCTGTTGTGAGCATAACCAGTTAATAGGTTTGAATTAATTAATAGGTTTAAATTCATTAAAAGTTTTAAATTTTAGTTAAATACTAGGTTTAGAATAATGAGGTTTACTGAAAGTTTGAAAGTTTCTTTAAGTTCTAGCTATTATTATACAATTTCATTCTCAGTATTATAAGAGAGATACTAATATTAATCTCTTTTTACAAATGATTTTACTAAATCAGAGGGGAATCAAGTCATTTGCTCAAGATCATAGAAGTTGCTAGAGATGGAGCAATTCAGACGAACCGAGGCCAGCTGTTTACTAAAAGCCAGATGCACTGCGCCCAGATGGAGTTTAGGACTGAATTTTTGGATAGCCTGAAGAAAGTGGCATTTCTTGAGCTTAAAGTCAAGGAGGGACCATAAAGAGAAAATAAACAACAAAAATCAGAAAGTGAAGATTAGCGAGTGGGAGGAGAGCAGAGGGCAGTGCAGAAAAGGCAAATGTGTTACAAGATTCAGAGATCCTGGGGCTGGGAAGGTGGCTCAGTGGTAGAGCGCTTGCCTTGCATGCCTGAGGCTCCAGGTTCGATTCCTCAGCACCACATAAGCAGGAAAAAAAAAAGCCAGAAGTGGCACTGGGGCCACTTCTTGAGCACTAGCCTTGAGCTGAAGAGCTGAGGGACAGAGCCCAGGCCTTAGAGTTCAGGCCCTAAGACCAGACCCCCCCCCCCAAAAAAAAAAAAAAAGATTCAGAGATCCTGACTCTCCCTTTTTATGGTATTTGCATGATTGGAGACAGAATATTCTCTCAGAGATGGCCGGGCAATAGGCTGCAAAAAGTGAGCAGACAGATTACCATAATTCTTACATGGTTTAAGAAGAGAGAGAGTGGAGTCTGTTGGGATTCTGTGATCCAAAAGTAACTAACTGAAAAAAATGCTTAAATAAGGATACAGGTTGACCCATTGTAACAATGAGATGTACAAGACACTATGTTTTGTTTATTTGGTGGGTGGTGGGGCTTGAACTTTGGGATTGGGCGCTGTCCCTCAGCTCTTCAGCTCAAAGTGGGCACTCTACCACTTGAGCCACAGCTCCACTTCCAGTTTTCTAGTGGTTTATTGGAGATGAGAGTCTCAGGGACTTTCCTGCCCAGCCTGTCTTTGAAGCATGATCCTCAGATCTCAGCCTCCTCAGTAGCTAGGATTACAGGTGTGAGCCACTGGCGCCCCAATGACACTGTTAAAAATGAACTTTACAACTTGGGGGGGGGGGTGGAGTTGGGGAGGTGGGGAGGGAAGGGATGGTAGGGGAAAAAAACAAAGGAGTAGGTAACAATGCTTGATAGGAAATGTACTCATCACCTTATTCATGTAACTGTAATTCCTCTGTACAGTATCTTTACAATAAAAACATATATATATATATACACATATATATAAAAGTAACCAACTGAAGCAATAATAAAATTAAAAATGAGGATAATAATAATGATAATAAAAACAACTCTTAGTGGGACCCTAGAGCGACTTGAGGAGTTGTGCTTTATTGTGTTTATATGACAAAGGATTCACTCATTTTGGTGCCTGAAAATGGGCATCATATACTGTGGCATCCATTTCTGATTGTGGTCTCTTGTGTGCTTTTGTTTTGATGATCAGATCTTTGCCTTAAGTGGAGAGTCTTACCGTACCCTACTGATTTCCAGAAAAAGGAATTTCTTGACGCGTGGATTTGTGCTAATAATCCTAACCATTCGGAAAACAGGTAGTTTCTGATCACTTTCTGAAAATTCTTTATCAATCTTTAATTCCCAAAGTACATTTTATGAAATTGGAAAAAAAATTTCAGCTGTAGAAAGATTGTAGCTTAGTAGCTACTCTCTTTTTTCATACATTTTTATTGTAAAAATACTGTACAGAGGGGTTACAGTTACACGAGCAAGGTCATGAGTACATTTCCTATTGAATATTGTTGCCTCCCCTACCATCCCTTCCCTCCTACCTCCACAACTACCCCCTTACCCCCCTTTCCCCCCACCCGCCAAAATTGTAATTAGTTTTCAACATACTGTTTTGTACATCTCATTGTTACAATGGATCAATCTGTGTCCTTATTTAAGCATTTTGTTTTTTCCCTTCCCCTCCCCGAATTAGAGAAGTATATATATACAAGATACAGGGTACTGACATCAAATACAGTAAAAACAGGGGTTACACTGTGGGAGAGGAACATACAAAGAAACAAAAAAATCACATGGTACATTATAAATACATTAGAAACATTAGCATGAAAGAAAAAAGGTATTTGTGTCCCTATCTTGGGGTTCATTTCGCTTAACATTATTTTATATGGTCATATGTACATAGCTTTTGACCTTTTCTACTTGTCCTACACATGTACTAGTTATTGCAAATAAGGGAAACCATGAGACTATGTTTCTTTGGGCCTGGCTTACTTCACTTAATATATATTTTTTTCCAAGTCTTTCCTTTTCCTAACAAATGGGGCAATGTCATTCTTTCTGATGGAGTCATAGAATTCCATTGTTTATATATACCACATTTTCTTGATCCACTCATCTACTGAGGGGCATCTGGGCTGCTTCCATATCTTAGCTATGGTTAAATAATGAGTAGCTACTCTCTTTTTGACCTCCTAGCCTCCTCTGGCTAGCTCTGGAAAGATTATTTTGTTTGTTTTTCCATCATGTAGAAGAAATCTGGATGGAATAATCAGCAGGTGTTGGATGGGGGAAAGTTCTGCACCTCCATCAGCAGGAGACTTCGGCCTCCTAAGTTCAGTTTTCAAGTTCATGTTCACACAACATACAACCTGATCACACTGGAGTATAATTCAGAGGGGAGTATCCAGGGACATTAAACTGTTAGGCTACATGTGTGTTTCTATTTAGAAGACATAGATTGATTTTATCACTTTATGCTCTGGAGGAAGAAGTCAAGAAAAAACAGGAAAAAGACATTAAATATTGATGGATGTCAGTGTTATTACAAGCCCTTGCTAGACTAATCTTTTTTCTCTAAGGAGAAAGAGTTAGCATTCCCCTTTAACAAAGGTACCCCTAACTCAAGCCCTGCTTCTCAGTGCAGTATGTTCTAAGTCCTCTAGGTTGATATGGCAGTGGATCAATACTGCTAATATAGACATTAAGGTAGTAATTCTTGTTTGTTTATTTTAAATCCTGGCCTGAAGAAGTGAGAAAAAATTATCAAAGCAAAAGAAAACAAAGCATTCAGAAGCTGCTGTTAAACAGGGTGGTGATGGCTCATGCCTATAAAGCTAACTACTCAGGAGGTTGAGATCTGAGGATCTTCATTTGAAGCCAGCCTGGACAGAAAGAATCTATAACATCCTTTTCTTCAACTAACCACCAAAAAGTGGAAGAGGAGGTGTGGCTCAAGTGGTAGAATGCCAACATAAACCATAAAATGTCAAGTGAGATCAGAACCTTTTAGTTCAAACCCCAACCTGGGCTAACACACACACACACACACACACACACACACACACACACACACACACACACACACACACACACACACTCACACACACACACACACACACACACACACACACACACAAGCTTCTGTTAAAACTTTTCTGCCTGGTGTCTGCAGGTTAATTTTATTTAGAGATTGAAGACAAATGTGAAGGCCTGCAAGGGTTCTTAACATTTCATATGGCCTGGAGATTTTTCAGTCTCCCTTTCTTGTTCAGCAACATGACCTCTATTTTTCCCAAATAAAATTTTGACACAGAATAAGTGTCAAATAAGTGCTAAACTGTCCTAACTGAATTGGAGACCAAGATCCTGGAGACCAAAAGCAAATTTTCCATTTCTTTACTCTAGTCTTTGCTCCCTATTAAAAGCCCAATACCTCAGGGAGCATGATCATGAATGAGAAAAGTCAGAATGGAAACTACAATCTAGACTCAGAACCCTCATGATATACCTAAGATCCACCTTTCTGATTCTGTCCCCAACCTGGGACTTAGCTATCTTCTAAACAAAGCCTAGACTTTGTCTAGCATAGTCAAGGATTGCAATCACTTACTATATGCTAAGAACTTCCACAGCATAGGTTATGGTTTAGATTTTAGACTCTGGGCTAGACTGTGTTTAATCCTTATTCTACTGGCTTTAAGACCTGAGACAAATGATAAATCACCCCCCCCCCCCCCACACTCTGTCTCTCTCCCCACACTCCCTTTCTTTGGCAGGTCTAGGTACTGAAATTAAGGAGCTCTCATTTGAGCCATTCCTTTGGTCTTTTTGCTTTCACTCTGATTTTCAGATGTGTTTTCCTGGCAACTTTTCCCAGCTGGTCTTGGACTTCTGTCCTCCTGTCTCTACCTCCATAGTGGCTAGGAACACAGGCATTCACCACCACATCCAGTTTCAAACCTCTCATGAACTCAGCACCCTGGTCCCTAGAAGGGAGAGGATGGCAGCAGTTACCTCGGTGCATCTTCTCTGGGTTCCACTGAGCTGCTTGTGATGACAACTTGCTGAAAGCTCTGGGGGATGGGGTGCGGGGGGATTGGTCCCTTAGTGGCAGCCACCAGGATATCAGCCTCTCCCTGAAATCTAGCCATCTCCCTCTGATTTCTGCATCCAGTCATAGGCCTTGTCAGAACCACAGAGCTGCTCTGTGGAAGCTGTCCCTGCCAGCTTCCTCTATTTTCAGTTTACCATTGTCCCCAAATTGGCACACTCTCATCCACTTCTCTTCAAAAGTGGGGATGCCATCACAGATCATAGTACTAAGTCTCAAGCCTACATTAATTCCATCTCTTTTACACATGCAAATAATGACACTTGTGAGGAGAGGCAAGATAAATTTAGTCATGTTGACAGAAAACTGATCAACCTTGAAAGTCTATGAGGCAAAAAGTACTTATATTTATAATTGTCTCAAGTCCTTGATGTTTTAAGTACACTGACATCATATTGACTGTCTTTAGCTCACTTCCATTGAAAAGATGACAAAATACACCTAAAGTAACAGCAAGGAGTTTAGAGATAGCTGAAAGTAAACCTAATTTACAAGGGCAGTTACATGGAAGTTGGTTCTTCCCTCATGCGGAGCTCAGCACCAGGGGTGTAGGTTTGACATCTGCCAGGATGAAGAGTAATTCAACCACTGACTTTTCTCAGTCCTCTGATTCAGTATCTCAGGCCAGGACACACCGAAACCTAAAAGACTATGCCCAGAGACATACATCCCATTAGATTTTGATAGAATCATATAAAACAGTGCATTAAAATGATATGAAGTGAAGTAGAATTGTTCATTAGGTGGGGTCCCTTGAGTACAGGGAGGTAAGAAAAAAAGTATTGTGTTTACAGAAAATATAGCCCATTGTCAGCGGTTAATTGCCAATTGTCAGGAGCATGCCAATGAACAGCAGCTGAATGAACAATGTTTGTGCCTGAGCCAGACACATATTAACTGTTCCTGTCATAGCAATCACGCATCAGTCATTTCACCTGGACAAATGTCCTATGAACTTCCCCTATTTCTCAGAGGAGAAAACAGAGGCCAAGAAAGGTTCAGTAACTTGTCCAGAATTCCTCCTTCAAGATGAAACTGGAAGCCAAGAATTTGATGCAAAAACCTATTCTCTGGCTGCCTTACCATCCTCTCTCAGAAGGCAGCCTTTTACATTCCAGGACACCTGATTCCACTTAAATCCTTTCTCCTTTCCAAGGCACACTATGTTACAAGTGGTAGCGTTCAGAGTGGAGTAGCCTGGGTGACATAAAATACAGCCAGTGTTTGTCACGTGACTGAAGCCTCGTTTTCCTTCCCACTATGAGTCCAGAGGGAGACTATACATTATTGTCACAGTTTCTGAGAAATAGATATCCCTACACTCCCATTTCATTCACACTCTGCATTTATCTGCATTGAAAGTAGGGATTACCGGCAGGGGAAAGATGATGCCTATTACCTGTCTGAACAACAACAACCAGAAAGTCTGCATTTTGAAAAGGCTGTTGAGTAAAATCTATGGGTTGGATTGCATATGCAAATTTACTTCCAAAATGCTTTAAGGGAAGACAATAGAGTAGACTGCATTTTCATAAAAATACTTGAGGTTCCTGTTTCCTGAATAGAAACGTAAGAACCACAAGGTTCTTTTCTCAAGTGAAATAGAGGCCTGCCTAGGTACCACCACAGATGTCTTCCGAACCACACTGTGGGTGGTGGTATATATAGTAGCTGTTCCTTGCGTTTGTTTATATAGCACCTTTCCTTGAAAATAACAATAATAGCTAACACCATATGTGGGTGGAATTAAGTGGTTTTTTTTCATAGTAGTACTTGAATTTGATTGTAGTTCCTCACTCTGCTCTGTTGGTAGGGAGCAAGAAAAATATATGTTGCAGTCCTGAAAAACAGAAATGGAAGCTTTCATAGACTTTCCTTCTCTGCTTCACATGGGGGAAGGCCTCTACTTTCAGCCTCTTCCTTCTTCCCTCTTCATCAAATATACACACATTTTTCTGTAAACTTCGTCCTTTCCTTCTCTTTCTGGTAACTGTCTCCCAAATGAAACTCCCACCTTCTCCCATCTATCCGGATGAGAAAAGTCCTTGATGTAGAACAGGCTCAGAGAACTGACCTGAACTTTTACACCACAGCCATGTCTTCAGCCATTTCTGGTCTCTCCACAGTGTTCACAGGGGAGTTGAAGTTCTCAGAGTTGCCAAGATAAACAAAAACCCCAAACCATAATACTCTACTTTTACAAATTAAAAAGATGGCTTCAAATCTGCCAAATCATGTGTGTGTGTGTGTGTGTGTGTGTGTGTGTATTTCAATTCATGTATTCTTAAAACAAATGAGTTAAGTGCTTATTCACATGCATAACCTGTTTATTGCTCATCAACGCACAATTCTGTATGATTATATAATACAAATGACTGGGAGGCAGTATGACTGCCAAATGCAGACGGTCTGACAGCAGCAGGGAATGATGGGAAGGGTGCTACAGTAAAGCTCATCCACAGCTTTTTGGTGTGGAGGCTTCCGAAGTCTTAGTAAACTCCCCTTCTTCAGTCTACCCCTGAGGAACAACATACATTGCACATGACTGGTCTTCCAGTAATTCCCAAGTCACAAAAAAGAGTATCTATGAGTTTCAGAGGTAGAACTATTTAATATATTTTAGAGCTGTATAGACTTTGCACTCCAATTTGATTTTATTTTTTGTGGGGGGAGGAATGGGGGAAATGTTTGGCAGTAATGAGACTGAGCCTCAATGATCCAAAAAACTACTACTGCAAAAGACCTCATTTCAGGAAAATGTAGGATAAATGAGCCATTAGCAAAACAATTAGTATTCTCAGAAACACACTACCCACCACATTTTACATTAAAAGGTCTTTTACATTAAAAGTCTTGTATTACTTCAAATTATCAAGATGATGATCTTCCTTTGTATTTGAATTTTGTGTATATGGACAAAAGTGATATTCCTTAGAAGAAAGTCTTCTACAGAAAGCTAACAGTTTCTTGTTTCCTCCTGTGGTTCATCTTTTATTTGTTGGTTGTGAAGCTGTGATCAGGTAGAATGGCTTCCTTCAATCCCCCTGGGTACCATGAACACAGCAACATCATCCAAAAGTGAGAGAGAGAAGCAGCTGAGAGAGTCCATCCAAAGGTATCAGAATAAGCTGGCAGAAATGAAGCCACAGGTGAGCTCTTCTTGATTTTCTCCAAATTCAGCCTTAGTTTTCCATTGGCAAATTGATGAAGGATGTGTACCCACGTAAAATATCTAGTCTTGTGTTTGTTTCTGTTATTTCCTTTTTGTTTTGGACCTAAGAACTCTTCTAGAGAGTGAGTCTAGCGAAAGGCAGAAAGTTCTGCAAGGGATTCTGTACATGGACCATCTAAGTGCAATGAAACAGGTGAGCAATGCAGACATAGAGACACATAAGGTTCAGGTGCCATCTCCCAGCCACTTGAACAGGGTGGATCTCCAAGTTTGCATGGCAGCTAAGGCTGGACTGTGTTTATTTCATTTGGCTTCTTCCCTGTGTGTGTACATTTTAGGTAAAGAGTTCCTTTAAATATTAGCTTTTTTATACAGAAAGTCAAAGTCATAGTTAATTTCTAAGGATACTCAATATGTAAAACATTTCTATTACTAGACATAGGTAAATATGACACTTTCCAGTAGGAGAAAATGTATTATGTAAAATAGTTTTTTAACTAATAAGTCAATTAGCTCTCTGTGACCTTGTAGATCCAGTACTCAACTTCAGCATTTTTAACTTTATGTACAGCCTGCTAGCTTCCTCAAGTAGCATTTGGGGTTGGTGGTGTGCATCCACAACTCCTGGGGATCTCAGGAAATGAAATATCATTAGCATAGAAAATTCAGTGATGGAGTTAAAATCTCTAGGCTCAACACATTATTACATGCCTTCCTGGCTCTTCCCAAGATAAGAGTTTTACTTTCTTATCTCTACTACCTTGCTAGGGATCTGCAGTGCAGAGGTAACAAAGCCCCTTGGCTCTCCCTTGTAGCCTGGAGTCCTTGTGTTGCTTAGGAAGATGATGAGAATCACTTGGGCAGCACCTTTACTTTTTGAAAATGGCTCAGCTTTCTATAGTTCGTGTAGCTTCTGTTCCCTGATTTGAAAACATAAGATGGAATTAAAGGTATGACAGCCTGTAATTATTTTCATAGAAAAGCAGGTCAGTAAATGCAAATTTTTTATTCTTTTTATTGTTTTGGTTTTTATTTTGTTTAACCCTGACAATTCTGTGAAGGAAATTCAGTACCTTTTGGTTATCCTTAGATGGCATTTTCCTTTCATTTAAAGGTCAGAGATGAACCTTGTCTATTAATAGTGAAGGTTTAATTGGCTCCATGTTGTGGCTCACACCTGAAATCTTAGCTACTCAGAAAGATGAGATCTAAGGATTATGGTTCAAAGCCAGCCTGGGCAGGAAAGTCAGTGAGAATTTCATCTCCAGTTAACGGTTAAAAATCCTAAATGGAGCTGTGGCTCAGCTAGTAGAGCACTAACCTTAATCAAAAAAGCTCAAGGACAGTGCCCAGGCCCTGAGTTCAAGCCTCTGGATTGGAACAAAAAATTAACAAGTACTATACAACAATATTAGTTTCATACATATCCTATCCTACCTAATGCTGCCGCAGAAGTTTATTCCAAGGAGATTGTGAGGGCATCTGCAGTCAAAGACAGTTTCATAACTGAAGGGGTAGAACTTGTGACTTGAAGTCTATTTGGAGCATGTGTAGGGAAATGGACAGGACATTCCAGGTAAGAACAAGAGAACAGAACATGTGGAAATGAGCCACGTGTGTTTCTTCATAGAACCTACCATTCATACCACACACTGAGCTTGTCTTAAAAAACATAAACCCAGGATTTGTGTGGGATATATCAATCTATTAAAAAAAAAACAATTTAGTGACTCATTATAAACATAACCATTGCTGAACAGAAGACTTCTGAAAGGTCACCTCCATTCCCCATTCACAAAAAGCAATCTAGGAAACCATTCCTGACTATTTTGGTGTATTTACCTGAGGGCAGAAACAAGTTCCAGAGCCATAAGATGCTTAGAATGAATTTGCTGTCTGCTTTTTAGAGACATGTTCTTGCGAGTGAGAATGGGAAGCCAGCAGAACAAGGCATTGACCCCATTCTGGGTTTAATGCTCCCTGGGTTGAGATGAATTGTCCCCTGGACCCAGTAGAGAATCAAGCACTGACTCATTTGCTCCCACATTTCACTATGCTCATTGGCATCTGTGTGCCCAGTCTTTCGATGCCATGTACAAATTCCCCTATCCCCACGTCCTGCTTCCCACTTCCAGTGACCATTTACCCACGTGCCAGGCCTGGGGAACAGATACAGAAACTAAAGTACAGAATTAAGCCCCTACACTTTATGTCTTATCCTCTTTCTAAATTTTATTTAATTATCTCTAAGTAGTGGTCTACATGCACAGTCATCTCACACAGCAGTTTATGAATACCATGCATGTTGATCTGTGTCACTCCTTTCAGTATTCTCACTCAACCCTTCCAACCCACCCCTTTCCTCTTTTTTTTTTTTCCTGTTGGTCATGGAGCTTGAACTCAGGGCCTAGGTACTGTTCCTCAGCTTTTGTGCTCAAGATTAGGACTCTACCATCTTGAGCCACAGGTCTACTTCTGGTTTTGTGGGTGGTTAATTGGAGATAAAGAGTTTCACGGACATTCCTGTCCTGGGCTGGCTTTGAACCGTGATCCTCAGATATCAGCCTCCTGAGTAGCTAGGATTACAGGTATGAGCTACCAGTGCCTGGATTTTCTTACTTTTGAAGGATATAGATTGGATTCTTGACTGCACTCTCCCTCTCTTCTCCTCTTCATTGTCTACTCCTCTCTCCTTGACCCTACCCCACCTCCTTTCAAATGCCTGTTTCTTTGTGTCTTAACTCTTGAATTTATAAAAATTCCCAAACCCTGGAGACTGAACTCGGTGTATCACAGATGCTAATAAGCAAGTCTACTACCACTTGAGCCACACTGCCAACCCTTCAAGTTTGTATTTCATTTTGAGATGGGTTCTCATTAACATTTTCCTGGACTGAGTTCAGATTTGAGATCCTTTGGCTATAGCAGCCTCCTCAGTAGCTCACATTACAGATTGTCTGGCTGCACTTAAGTTTTGTGGTAATGGGGTTAGGGTCTGGTGCAAGCATTCAAGTGTTCCCTACCTTTTTTTGGGGGGGTGTCCAGTCATAGGGCCTGAACTCTGGGCCTGGGTGCTGTCCCTCAGCTCTTCAGCTCAAGAATAGTGCTCTACCACTTGAGCCACAGCCCCACTTCTGGCTTTTTTTTTTGCTTATGTGGTACTGAGGAATTGAACCCAGGGCCTCATGCATGTAAGGCAAGCGCTATACCACTGAGCCACCTTCCCAGCCCCCTGCACTTAAGTTTTGATGGAAGCTGGCATCCATATCTGGAAGTAAAGGGGAATAACTGGGTAAAGCACAAACTTTCTTGAGTTGTTAAGTAATACAACAGTGCTTTTGTCACAATCCCACCTGGTGCAGAGTGACAGTGTACTTTCTAGAAGTACCTTCACATAATGTACTGGCTATACATACAGTGAGACTAAAAACAGTTCTGGTAAAAGAGGCACTTAATGGTTAAATCATTTCCTCTAGTAAGAAAATGAGCAGTTTCCAACTGGTGACATATTTAATTCCTAGTTAAAATGGATACAACTAGCTCTATCCATTTTAATAAGAGAGGAACACATCGGTCAATTATGATGTTGGAAATAATCCTCCTCCTCCTCCTCCTCCTCCTCCTCCTCCTCCTCCTCCTCCTCCTCCTCCTCCTCCTCCTCCTCTTCTTCTTGTACTGGGGTTTGAACTCAGAAACTTGTGCATGTGAAGTAGATACTCCATCACTAAGCCACACCTCCAGCTCAGAAGTTTGCTGCTGCTGCTTCTTTTTTCTTCTTCTTCCTCCTCCTTCTCCTCCTCCTCCTCCTCCTCCTTCTCCTCCTCCTCCATCTCTTCCTCCATCTCCTCCTCCATCTCCTCCTCCTCCTCCTTCTTCTCCATCTCCTCCTCCTCCTCCTCCTCCTCCTCCTCCTCCTCCTCCTCCTCCTCCTCCTCCTCCTCTTCTTCTTCTTCTTCTTCTTCTTCTTCTTCTTCTTCTTCTTCTTCTTCTTCTTCCTCCTCCTCCTCCTCCTCCTTCTTCTCCATCTCCTCCTCCTCCTCCTCCTCCTCCTCCTCCTCCTCCTCCTCTTCCTCTATCTCCTCCTCCATCTCCTCCTCCTCCTCCTCCTCCTCCTTTATCTCCTCCTCCATCTCCTCCATCTCCTCCTCCATCTCCTCCATCTCCTCCTCCTCCTCCATCTCCTCCTCCTCCTCCATCTCCTCCTCCATCTCCTCCTCCTCCTCCTCCTCCTCCTCCTCCTTCTACTCCTCCGTCTTCTCCTTCTGATTCCAGCAGGATTTGTCTCAGTCACATAGTATTAATACAGACAGAAATGGCATAAGAACATTTATCAAGTAGCAAACTGATATGTTGCAAATACATTGCAAATTTGTTGAAGGAAAGATCTAAGTTCAGTAAACCTAATAAAACAGCTCAAATTCAAGATACGTACCTGGGATGCATTTTATGGAGTAAAGGGCCTGCCTTGAAAGTAATTGATGTGTGGACCAGCTAAGATCTTCCATATAAATTGCATTGGAATAGCCCATTCCAATCTTTCTTCTGCTGAATAGATGAATGAGTAATATGTGCCCAACTCCACTCTCAGCTTCATTCCTTATTTCCTGCTGTTTTCGGTACTGAGTGACAAGTGCCACCTGCTGGCCAAATGGAGCATTTTTAGTTTCATGTGTCACTTGATGGCTTGGCTAATTAGCAAATTAACTGGATAATTGTTCTTATAGTTTTAAAAGTACATAGGCAATGATTTGAAAGAATAAAATGAAGTTATAAAATCAATTCCCCTGAACATTAGAACTTTCTAGTCCTCACATTTGCCATTTTCTCAGTTTTAGCTCACAATTTAGATCTTTTTACCTTGTACTGTATGATAAAAATTATTTATGCACACAGATGATTGCTTTAGCTACATTTCATTTAGGGCTATTGCACTAGTTAAATCCACGTAATACCATTGGTCAACGAAATGATAGATGA